TCAGCATCCACCAGTGCCACCAGCTCATCCATGCCCTGGTGGAAGGGGGGGATCAGCTTCCTCATGATGGGGTCCAGCTCCTCAAACTGTTTCTTCCCATAGCTCATCAGCCCGACCATGCAGCCCAGTGCGGCTCCCTGAAAAGGCACAGGGGTAAGTCCTCCAGCAGGACACAGCACCCACCACTACTGCCATGTAGGCTCCCCTTGGGGGCTCAGCACACCCAGAGGACCCCCCAGGGAGGCAGGGACCCCATCCCAGTGTGGGGCACGTACCAGGGCAGCTGCAGCTGCAGACACAGAGCCTCCTCCTGGCGCTGCTGACCTCCCACCAACTGCTCGCACGAAGGCAACCAGTGGCTTGGCCACCAGCCCCCCATCCACCTCTCCTGCCTGCACCAGGTACCTGCAGCACAGTGGCCCTGTGGGTCAGAGCCCCCCAGGTGCAGAAACACTCACCACCCAGTCCCTTCTCACCTGACGCTGCCCTTTTTCTAACAAGTTTTCATCCACCCCTTGGCTCTGTGGGTGGCTGAGAAGGGGTCTAGGCCAAAAAACCCAGCAGGAGGGTTGGGGAGCGGATGCAGAGCCCCATGAGGACAGATGGACAGCTGGAGAGCAGATGTCCTGGTGGTGTAGAGGGTTGCTCTGCATTAGACAGGGTGAACAGGGTGAACGGCGTTTGGTGGAACAGAAACACGCCTGCAGCCACGTCCCCAGGGGTCAATGACAAGGACTTGAAGTGCACAGCCTGCTATCATCTCAGCATACATGCATTTCCCTTCCTCTATCCCCACAGACATGCATTTTACACCAGGCACTGCAGCATGGCATCTCTCTTTGGAGGGCAGCGTGTGAGCCAGAGGCAGTGAAATTTGGGCTGGGGATGGGGTGGAGGATTTAACATGCACATGATCAAGAGTGGCCATGGAACCTGCTCCTGCTGCCTGCCCGAGTCAGCCACATTCCCCCCACCCTGTATTCACAACCATTAGCATTTGGGAGCAGGGACCACCCTGCGCCTGCACAACACCCAGCAGGGATTGGTTGTGAGGAGGATCTGGGTGCAGGCACTACTCTCAAAACAAGCTGAGAGCAAGAGGCAGGCAGTGGGATCCAGGCAGGGATGGGCATCATGATGAGAAGCAGGATGGAGGTCCCTACTCGATGATGCGCTCCTGGGGGTGAAACGGAGACAGGGAGTCCAGGCCCAGACGGCTGACCACCTGCAAGAAGCAGCACTGCCATGTCAGCCCCGTCATGATAAGTCCCATTGCATCCTCATTCCCTGCTGTTAATTAACCATATGTGACCCAGCCCTAGGACAGAGTTGCTCAGGCCACCACCCAGGGAGAGAACAGCTGGCGCCACCAGCCTGTCCTATCCCAGACTTGGGGTCAGAGTGCAGCTGCCTGCAAATGACTGGACACTGCGTTGATAAATAATTAGCTTGCTCTTATCTAGCATGTTCCCCATAGGGTGGACGTGTCCCTCCCTCTTGCAGCTGAAAAGCAGAGCCTGTCTCCTCATTTCCAGCTTATATCGGTCCTGGTGCATTTTCCCATAACACCACACACTGTCCTTGAGCTCTGGGAAGGTCCTTTTCCCCTCCTGGCCTCCATGCAGGCAAGCTGGGCAGTTGCTGTCCTCACTCTGTCCTCACAGGATGGGCTTTCTGCTCCCTGGGCATCTCAGCATCCTCAGGAAAATAAAGCAACTTGTCCCATTTGTTGTGGCCTCACAGCTTGCCAGGCACCATTCTTAGAGACAAGTGTCATGCCACAGGCTGCTGTGGTCCCATATCTCTGCTCAGTGCCACTTTGGGAGGCTGGGAGAGTGGGAGGGTGTGTCTCTCTCATGATCCCACCCTTTTCTTGGTATTAGGAGGAGCCACATTACCAGCCTGATCTTCTCTTCCTCCTCCAGGATGAAGAGTTTTTCCTTCTTGATGTAAAACTCAGCCGTGTCCAGCATGGCCTTCTTGGGGACAAGTCCCACCAGCTGGGACCCCACCACGGGGAGGTTCAGTGCCTGCAAAGGACAACAGAAACAAGACTGTCCCCAGAGCCACCTGTTCTGCCACTGCTTCCACCCCAACCTAGTGTCTCATCCCTTCCCAGGACCTGGGGAGCTCATGGAAAAGCCTTCAGTGGAGGAGCTGGGAGCTAGCAGCAAGTTGCTGAGTTTTTAGGGTTTTCATGCCGTTCAGCACCTTGCCCAGCTTGGCTGAGCTGACCGTGAGATAAAGCAGAGCCTGACATGGGGATGGGTAGAAAAACAACTTGGAGGGAGAAACAACTTGGGTGAAGCACCCATTGAAACAAGCATGCCGTGCCACCCTGCACCACCCACCTTCGCATCTTGGCAGACCTCCTCGTAGACAACATGGAGCGGTGTGGTCTCAAAGTCCAGCAGGTTTGTTGAAACCTGAGCTATATTCTCTTCCTCCAAATACCAGCCGATGCCCTGCACCCTCTTCAAGCGCCCGGGCTGTCAAGAACTGCCTCAGTCAAGGCATGGCCCAGGAGGCATGAGGGCAAGCATGTCTGTCCCCAGCATGCCACTGGCATGTGAGTACCTGATCAGCGCCGCGACCCTGCTCACGGATGTTGAGGGCAATGCGGTGAGCCTGCTCCTTGGTGCACAGCAGGTTGATGTTGTACGCAATAAGGAAAGTCCGGGCACCCGTCACCGTTGCCCCCCACCGGGGTACAAAGGTTGGGGGCCCAAAATCAGGAGCCCACTCTGGTTTTGCAAGCTAGGGAGGAGAGAGGAGAGTGTGTGGGCTGGCACCACCGAGCAGCATGAGCCATCCTCCCAGGGACAGCATCTCCCTCCCCAGCCGGCATCTGTCATGTTCACATCCATGTTCAGCAACACCCAAAGAATTTCATCAGCTCTTCTTGGTGCAAAGGGACTATGCCAGCCCCCAGCACTGTCACCAAAGCTGGGGAGGTGCAGGTCAGCCCTGACCAGTCCGTGCTTCCCAGATGGGTACTGCCAGACTCACCTTCTCAGGCAGTGCCTCATATTCCCCAGCGCGGATGGTGGGCAGGGCTTTCCTGCTGTCCTCCCGCGCCGCCTCTCCATACAGGTAAACTGCAAGACAGAGCCAAGGGTGAGCACTGCCAGGAAGGGGCTGGTGGCATGTCATCTAGTGAGGTCCGGTTTTGCCCATTTGGGAGCAAACTTCATTTTCTCCTTGGTTAAACTTTTGCAAAAGGTGTGCAGTTTCTCCACAGCTGGAAGCATGTGGGGTGGGATGGGACGGGCAGGGGTTCCTGGCCCCCACTCACCAGGAACACCCAGCTCTGCTGCCAAGCGCTGTCCGAAGATGTGGGCGCAGGTGACACACTCCTCCATGCTGATGTTCATCACTGGCACGAAGGGGCAGACGTCCAGGGCCCCCATGCGAGGATGTTCACCTGAGGACAGGGAAGATATAAGGACGGGAGCTGGGAAGAGCAAACGGACAAAGAGGAAGGACAGCCCTTTCACAGCCTTTTGTGCAGACTGAGCATTGCTGCTGCGAGGAAAGTTGTGTTTGTGGCAGTAATGTCTACTCCAGCCTCCCTGGATTGGGAGGATGAGCAAGAGATTTGCACGGTCCCACCACCATCCATCCCACCAGCGCTGCTTGCTATAGGTGCAGTAACCTGCTGTGCTTGGCTGCCAGCAGCTGATTTTAGCTCCGCCCATGCAAGGTGCACCCGGAACTAACCATGCACTGCAGCCGGCACTGCACCAGGCCGGCTCCTGCGCCACCCCCAAGCTCACCCTTGTGCTGGCTCATGTCAATGAGCTGCCCAGCCGTGCGGGCTGCGCTCAGCGCCCCTTCAACAACAGCCTCGGGAGACCCCACAAAGGTGTAGACTGTGCGGTTGGTGGAGGCTCCGGCATCCACGTCCAGCAGCACGCAGCCCGGCGTCCGGGAGATTGCCTGCCCCAGCGCGTCAATCACCTGCCAGACAGTGGAAGGGGGCAAGGCAGCTGAGCCAGCCAGACCCCTGGCACAGCCCTAGCTTAGCAAGGTGGGGGACACCTTTTGTGAGCTCTCCCACCAGCACTGGGGTTGGGGATGAGCCCACGATCAGTGGGGATGCAGCCTTGTGCAGCAGAGGATGAAGGATCCAAAGGCACAAGCCTACCCAGGGAGTTTGGGACACCCCTGGCTCCCAGAGAGCCCCAAACCCACATGGTGGTGAATAGCTACCCAGGCGGCTGCTGCACGTTGGAGAGCACCGTCACAAATTGCTGTTCCTGAGGATACTGTCCCCTGCCAGCTTCAAAACAGATTTGGCTCTGTAAAGCCTGTTCCCTTGGGGAAGCTGTGTTTTTACTGCAATTTTGGGTTTGCTGAACTCCCCCGCCCCAGCAGGGCCAAAGTTCAGACTAGGGCTGATGACACCATTAACCTGGACCGTGTGTTTTGGCACAACAACCACAAGCAATATTTCTCTAACGGGGTATGACAGACCGCCCCAAGCCCTGGTGCTACAGCACCACTCAGGCAGTGGGGAGGAGGGCATCTGAGCCCCCGCTTCTCACCAAGGTATACCAAAAGGAAGCAGGGGCTGCCTTTAGGCATTTTTGGCATTAGCCAGGCAAGGAAAGCTGCGCAGCATTTCAAAGGGCGCAGGGCAGAGCCTTGCACCAGGCGCTGCCTGCATGGCCCCTCTGCAAGGGCAGCCCAGCCACCTGCACGCCAGCATCGCCCACCCTTCAGCCCCTCCTCGCGCTCCCTCACCTCCTTGTTATTCCCCTCTGAGAAGTTGGGGACGCACTCCACCAGCTTGGCCATGGTCCCAGCGTCTGTCTGCACCCCACTGCCACGCGCTCAGCTCCTCACGACCTGTGGGTTTGCCTGTCCTTTCCTGTCCCACTGTGGAGCAAAAGCCTCCCAGCACCCAACCCGTTGCCTCTTCCCCGAGCCAGGGTTTCTCATTAACTGCATCGATCTGCAGCCAGGAGACAGAAAGGGTCTTGGACAAACAGTGTGCTGCTGGCCCTCCTGTGTCTGGAGGAGCTCCAGGCACAAGGGCACTGCATGCTCACCAGGGCCAGCCTATAACACTAATTACCCACAAGTGCCAACTAATTGCTAGGAGAAGGTGATGCCAATGAAGAAAAGCATCTGTTTTGCCCAGCACCATGCCTTGGCTACCAGATGGGGACGCAGGCAACAGGCTCACCAGCACTCCACGTCGGTGGGGGGACATCTGTTCCCGAGGACGCCCGACATGGGCTCCAGGGCAGAGTGTAAAGTCTCTCACTGTGAGCAGGATTTGAACCTGCACAGGGAAACCCCATTGGATTTCAGGTCCAATGCCTTCACCCCTCAGCCATCACAGCCCCAGCCCCTGGCACGCAGGGGGGACAGCTGCAGCCCAACCAGGCCGTCCCCCCTGGTTCCTCCTGAGCATGCCATTTTCCTGGGAAGTGGGAAAGTCTCTGGGGTAGCCTGTGCATCCCTGCACATCCCTGCACATGACCTCAGCCCCCAGGTGCTGCCAGAAGTGCCTGGCCCTGAAAGGCGGCTGCTGGGGCCCCAGGATCCTCGGACAGCACTGCCCCCTCAGCACCCCAGTGCCTGGCACAGGATGCGGGTGCCCAGATGGCTATATACTGTGGCTCGTTGGTCTAGGGGTATGATT